AACCAAAAAACCACAACACCATCAAAAAAATCCAAACAAACAAAAACCAAACCAGAAACAAAGGCAACCCAAACAAATAAAGATGCCCCAAACTCAACTCCCAAACAACTCTACACAAGAACCCACTGGAAGAATTTACATTTGCAAAGGTGTAAAAAACCTGCATTTTCTCTGTGGCAAGTGTCAACTGTACAGCTGCAATACAGCAACAGAGCATGCAAAAAGGGATATGTATCTCCCTCTAACTTAAGACATACCTCATTGATTCTGCACGATTATTTCATATCATGTGTTTAATTTTACAGCTTTCATCTAAACTGTTCTTTCTCAAGACTTAGATTCAACAGTTTTTCAGAGATTGGACTGAAGTTTAATCTGAGCCATCTTCTCTCTGGCACAACTGAGGCAGAAGCTAGAAGTGACATCAACAAAATTTCTCCTGAAGTGCAAGCACCGGGGGGGGGGCCTGAAAAGACAAAGTTGCAAGACTCTTTGCTTGCTAAGGAAGTGCGTGTTAAGGATTGCAGCATCCTCAGACAGCCATGGCCCTGTGAACAGCCAGGAGCCAACAGGCAGTTTCAGCCGTGGCAGGAAGGCAGAAGACATCAAAGATGATGCATCCCCCACAAGCAGCACAACACAGGCCAGCTGGCACTGGTGTCCCACTCATTAAGTCACAGCAAGTCCACAGACAAGACAGCTGATGACAACCAGAGCTCGCTGGTACTAGAATTTGTTTTCTTTTGAGAAAAGGGCTTTCCTGGGTAAGTGTTCTGTTAGCACTGACATGCAGCCACATCCCAGGTTTAAGTGAATCTTGCCGTCGCACTTGGCATTCGTTCAACCTGGGAGATGCAGTTATGGCTCAAGTGACGCTTCCTATTTGAAAACTGTTGTAAAAAAACAATGACTATATTTTGGAGGTAAGCCACCTCTTCCAGTGTGCCATTTCATGCCATGAAGAGAAAGCAAGCCCCATCCATCGCTTCTGCAAAAAGGGAGGCTTGCACCATGTAATGTGTGCCACTGAGGTGGTTTTCTTCCTGCTCCCAAACTACTGCATCACACTCTCAAGACGATGCCCTCTTTTCAGTCACAGGATCAGATAAGCATAGGATATGTTGAATATGGAAGGGACCCATTGTGATCATCAAGTCCAACTCCTAGCCCTGTGCAGGGCAGTCCTTTTACCCAGTGACAGGCAAAAAGCTGCAGCGTGACATCCTCGGCAAGCATGACCAGCATGCTTCCACCCTGGCAGGCCATCCTGAAAAGCCAGCTCCAGCCTGGTTTCCATCAGCTTAGCCCAGTAGTCGTGGCACAGAAAATCTTTTTGTACAGTTAGGAAGGGAGGCACAGCAAACGCCGTGCATTTCTCACAGCCAGCGCTGGCGGCTGAGGCACTCAGTGGAGGGGAAATGCAGTGCTCATGCTCTGATGGACAGCTGGATCCCTGATGGACAGCCTGATCCAGTGCCCAAACAGGTTTTTTAGCTTACAGCATCCAGGAAGTACAGTCAATTCAGGAGCAACTCAAGCTTCAAGGGACAGATAATACCTGAGCTCCTCTGACTCCTGATTCAACCCTGTTAGCAACCTAGCCCTCACCCAGAGGGCTACCTCTAACCCCACCCTACTTTTAAGCATCATCCACAACCTGCCTTGCTCATCTCTGTAATGCAGAGAATAAATGTTTGGATGCATTAGCATCCCAGGAGTCTGTGGTCTCGGATAGGAGCTGGAAGAACTGCAAGAAACAACTCGGAGCTGCACTCAGAGAAAGCATTTGGAAGTGTACTGCAGAAGGATTCTTCAAACAGTGCCATTCCTGAGAGGAACAGGACACTTACATCCAGAATGAAAGTGTCAGGCACACACTTTGAGCTGGTCTCAAACAGCTTTTTCACCTGACAGAAGCATACAATTTCAACCCCCCCAAACCTCATGTTACTGCAAACAGGAAAAAAGGACTGGAAACAATCTCTCTTACCATGCGTGTCGGAGGGCAGGAATGCATTTTAGAAAGATATTCAGAATTTTAAGACACAAATTGCACAAGACCTAAATTTGTTCATCTACAGACCCTCTTCTCTTTAGGGCAACTATCCAGAGAAGCTCCCTATCACACATACCCCCTCTCAGCCAAATTTCCAAAGGGAAGGACCCATATACAATTTTACAACCCACTAGGATGCAAGGAACCCCCAGCTCACAGAGTGGGTCTGGCTGGGACAGCCAGATGGTGAAATCTCTGCTCCACTCCAAGCCAGCTTTCCATCAGGAACTCCTGGTGAAGAAATGTCCCTTGAAGGACACCGGGTGGCACATATCCCTCCTGAGCCCAGGGACACTGTTCCCACCTTTCCTGGCTAAGCCCACAGTAGTCGCACCAAAAACTGCTGCACCCTGGGGATCCTCAGCACTCGGAATGCAGAGCTGACCTGGAGCAGGATACTCTGGCTGGTGGCTGACTGCCCCAATCTTCAAGTTTTGGCAGCAGTTCACAGGTTTGTCCAGCCCCAGCTGGAGCACAGCAGCTTGGCAGATGGCTCTCTGGTACCCTGCAACCCACCTGATCTTACTCTGCAGACACTACCGCTCCCTCCCTTCCTTGGGCTCCTTTCACTAAGCCACTACATTATGCCACCTCTAAATTATCTTTAAATCAGCAACCAGCAGTACCCCAGCCTTTTGCTCTCTCTGAAGACCCTTGCAAGCAAACAGAGGCTCTCCAAAAAGGAATGCTTGCAACGCCTCAAAAAAATCGCCCCAGTCCCCAGGTCTGCCAGCCTGTCTCTCCATGGAGCAGGGATTGTTTCAAGCAATCAGCCCTCCTGCATGTGCAAGGACAGTTTTATCAGCCATGGCCAAAACATCCCTCCTTTGCACCAGTGGCCTTGTGTGGTGTATGACTTGTGCTGCCCTAGCGCTGGAGCTCCCAGCACTTGGCTCAGAACACACCCATGGAGACAACTGCCTGCAGAGATGCTCCATGGCACTACTCTGTGGTACTCCCACAGCGAGCCTGCCTCTTCAGCCCACAGGAATCAAATCCCGAACCATCTCTTACACCAAAGGTGCAAAACCAATTGCCAAACTTTCCAGGTGTGACGGGCAAGAACGGAAAGGACCATTCTGGGGCGGAGGAGAAATACTCTGAACAACATCCATGTCTTTCAGCTATGCAACTTGACACCAGCAAAGAAAAGTCTTGCTGAAAAAAGAAAACCACGAGCATGTTCATTAGTGTCCTCACTGCTCTTTGCCTTCTCAATTTGATGGCATAGAAATGGAAATAGTAAATCAAACAGTAAATCAAATAATCTGCTCAAACACCAACAGCAGTAGAGGACCACTTCACACAGGTCAGTTGTGCAAGAATTTTATGTATGGATCAAGAAGTCCTATTTTTTTTATTGTTTCAAGTTTTGAAGACAGCAGGATGTAAGTGTCTTGGAATTGTTTTTAACATCACCACTACCACAAAGGATGTTCTTTCACTCTACAATGAACCAAGGAATGGAAACATTTGCACAGGGTCTCCTACATGGTTAATCTCACCTCTCTCCCATAAAAAGAACGCCCCAAAACCAACTCTCAGTGTGTAAATCAACAGAGCTAGGACAGAGTCACAGAGTGCATTAAACTGGTAACATCTGCTGAAACACATCAACTAAGGATATGACTGATGAAAAAGCATTTGGAATGGAAGAGGTTTCTTTCTACTAGCTAAACCAGAAAGGCTTGGATGACTCTCAGCAGCCTATTACAGTTGGTTCAAACACTGGGTGTGCAACCACCAGTTTCATTAGAAATACAGCATCTGACTTTCTCTCTGTTTTAATGGCCCTATGCACAGACGGAATTAAAGTGTGACTGAAGCTGCAAAAGCAGTACTACTTGCAGTTGCCTATTACACAGGCAAAACACTTCAATAACATATAGATGGGCTTCTGCCTGACAACTGGACCCTGTGGGAGCCAGGTAATTGCTGTTTACGGCACGGAAATACTCATCCATGTGGGAGTTAGCAACTTTAGTGGGTTTGTGTGAAGTTCAAGCTCGTTACAACTCAATGTTTATGTTCCCTTTGAGAAGCGTAGCTGCGGTCCCTTGTAGCAAGGATGAAGGTAACACCTCAACTGCACAGGAGCATCCCTGTGTACGCTTCATGTTCTGAAATTTTACACCTTTTGTAAACTCATCTCAACCCCACTCTTGCCCTTAAAGCGCAATGCTGCTATTCAGCCAAAGGCTGGCGTTTTTCTCAACATCTCATCTAATTCAAGAATTTGGCGAGATTAAGACAGCTTGTCAGTGCAGCAACGGTGCTAATGTGTTACACAGACAAGTTACTTGGAGAAACAAGCAAAACCAACCGCCCAGGATGCAGGCTGGGGGTCCTGGCCCTGGGGTGCGAGTCCCAGAGCAGCTTCCCTGGTGCAGCTGGTGTCTCTCGGGACCTCGCAGTAATGAGCAGGGAAGCGGAGCCTGAGCTTTCTCCCTTGGGGAACTGGAAAAACCATACGGGGGGAGGGAAAAAATAATAAAGGAGAGAGGAAAAAGAAAAGGGAAAAAGGAAAACAATAAAAGGAAAGAGAAAAAAGAGAAGAAGGAAAGGGGGGAAGAGAGAAAGGATAACAGAAAGGAAGTGGAAATAAGGGAGGGGGGGAATAAAAGAAAAAAGGGGGGGGAAGGAAAGAAGAAAGGGAAAGAAAAAGAAAAGGGAAAGAGAAAAGGGAAAGAAAAGAGAAAAGGGAAAGAAAAAAGAAAAGGGAAAGAAAAAAGAAAAGGGAAAGAAAAAAGAAAAGGGAAAGAAAAAAGAGAAGGAAAAAAGAAAAGGGGGAAAAAGAAAAGGGAAAGAAAAAGAGAAAAGGGAAAGAAAAGAAGGAAAAGAAGAAAAAGAAAAAGAAAAAAGAAGAAAGGTAAAAGTAGATGGAAAAAAGTGCCGCCGGCTGAGCGCAACCCCCGCAGCCCCACGGGCACACGCCGCCCCTTACCGCACCGCCGGCTCCCTCCATCTCCCATCGCCGGCCGCGGCGGATCGCACCGTCCTCCCCGCCGTGCCGAGCCGAGCCGTGCCGTGCCGTGCCGTGCCGAGGCGGTGCGGGCTGTGCCGGGCCGGGCCGGGCCGTGGCGCCCTGCCGGCCCCAGCGCCGGCGGCGGAGCCGGGCAGCGCGGCGGGCCCGGCGCGGGGGCGCGGAGCGGCGGGGCCGGGCCGGGCCCGGCGGGGCGGGGCGGGAGCCGGGCAGGGGAGGGAAGGGAGAGACGGGGCGGGGGTGGGGGCGATGGAGGGGAGGGGAGAGGGGAGGCGCACCACGTGCTCCTCGGAAAGATTTAAAAAAAAAAAAAAAAAGGAAAAGAAAAAGAAAAAAAAAGGGGAATTATTTTAGGATTAGCGAAGCAAACGCAGCGAAAAGCACAACCCCCAGACCGCGTGCCCGCAGCAACACGGCGCTGGGGAGGAACACGTCCAAAGCCCGCGGGGGCCGGGACATGCCGTGCTCTGCTCCTAAATCCCCTCGGTGCGGCGGCTCGCAGTTGCTGGGGACGGACAAAAAACCCCAAACCAACAAACAAAAAAGAAAATTAAAAAAATAAATAAAATAAAAATAAAAGCGGAAGCCTTTTCCAGCTGCGGGGCTTTCCCTCGCAGTCCGACTTCAAAAACCAGAACAGCGCAGATGTCTCCGGAGCAACCCCATCCGAACACTCGAAACTGATTTTTCGCTTTTTTCACAGCTTGCTGGAAGTTCTCTTGCGCGGTCCGGTTTCTGAGCTAGCAGCCACATCGTTAGAATTTCTCCAGCCAGGAGCTCTGCGAGTTGTTCTTTTAAATAAAAATGGGGGGTTTCCCCGTCAGAAGCTGCGCATTAGAAAACACCCCAAAATCTCATAGCCCCAGTTAGAGGAGCGAGCTGCACAGGTAGCTGGCAGACTGGATAAAGAGGGGTGTCTGTTTCTGTGGGTCCAGCCTATTTGTGTTTTGTTCAGTAGCAGCTGAAAACTTTTTGGTTCTAACCCATCTAAATTAAGGATAGGCTTTCTGGAGCAACCTCTTAGGACCAGGACTCACTGAACACTGTATGTTTGCTTCATCCCCAGCACTGGAAAAAAAAAAAAAAAAGGCTGCATATTAGGTGGTAGACAAGGTTGTTTTCTGATGCTTTGCTTTTCTGAAAGGCTTTGGACAGTGCTAGTGGTAGGAGTGCATCACCATGAAGTCACTGACTTAAGTGTACCACACCCAGGGAAGAGCAGCATCTCTGTGGCCAAGGAGAGAGTGTTGTCCTGCCTTGTTCCCTGCTGACCTCAAGCATCCTCCCTGTCAGCACTGGGCAGTCTCAGCCTTTCCATTCTACAGCACTACGAAAAAAATTTTAAAAACTCCATTTCTGGCAGGATAAAAAGTAAGTCCATGCATAATGCATGAAGTCTGGTCTGAAGCTTTACCTGCTTAGCAGTAAGGTGGGGGTAGCAGCACCATCTCCAGGCCCTTCCAACTCATCTGGAGGCTCCATCCAGTGACAATCCCCAGGCTCCTCCCAGTAGGGCTGCGTCAGGCAGAGTTCACACTGCTTCTCCTAACTTGAACCCACTCTTTTTCACCACTTCCAGCTCCACACTTCCCCAAACAATAGAGCTCCTGCTTTCCACCCACGCCACCCTGTAGGGAGACTGTGCTGCCTCTGCTGAATGGGTGCCTCAGACCTGGTGTACCCTGTATTTCAGAAGGCATCCTGCTCTTTCCCCTACAACTCCCCCTCTCTGCATACTAAGCCCCACACCTGCACCCCAGAACAAGCTATGTTTACCCACCCACCACAGGAGCAGCACAGCATCCGCCCCCTGCCCTGCTCAGCAGTCCTCCAATCCAGTCATTTCTGTCCTCTGGGAACAGGGGAATGAAAACCTGGCTCTCCATCCCCTGAAAGAGCTGGCAGAGGTCCTGAAGAGGTCTCTGTGCAAGGCCACAGACACCGCCCCATCGGGCTCTGCCCTGTGTGTCAGCACAGAACCCAAAACCCATGGGAGCAGCATGTCCCTGTGATGCAGCTCCGTGCTTATCATCTGTGGCTGAATTGTGCCGTGGACCACTGTGCCCCAGCAGGGCAGGTTGATGTGCTGAAGGGCTTCACCCCTCTTCCCCAGCCACAGCTGTGATGTCAAGCATGTTTTGGCCCCGCCAGGGTTTTGCCCCATCTGTCAGGGGCCTCTGAGGCCCCAGAAGCCGGTGCAGGAGCACAGGCTGCAGATTCTCCATCTGTGCCACATCTGAGCTGGCTAATGCAGTGGAAGAAGAAACCACCCAGCGCCTGGGGCTCTGAGGAGCTGATGCACTCTGCCTCCCTCTGCCCCAAGAGGGCTGAGGTCATGCAGGCCGGGAGGCAGCTGGAAGCAAAAGCAGGAATTGAGGCTGGGAGGGGGAGGGCGGTGGCTGGTGCTGTCCCTTCCAAAGCAGCTGCACATCACCCTGCCCTGGGCACCTAGGTGGCAGATGTGGCAACTGCAGCCCAGTTTGGGTTTGTCTCCCCTGTTTGTATTGAGAAGAATTTCTCTCTGATGCAGGCGTCTGGCCTGAGCCACCCAGAGGTTTATGCTGCCAGGAATATGCTCTGTGCTGAAGGACTGGGAGAGGAGAGCATTTGCCAGCCTGGGGCAGGACGATCCTGCAAGCCTCTGCTACAAAGGCATCTAGCTGTTCGTTTGCTTCACTGCAAAGGAGTGTACTTGGGTCCTGAAATTTGCACAGGAGAAGGCAGAATTTCTTACACCACTGATCATTCTTTTCTGCACAAATTAAATCCTAAAACATTTCTGTGAATGGGCGATCAGCAAAGAAATGGGGTGGGTTTAGTGAATTCATGAGGGAAATCTGTGGGGTTTTTTGTCCAAAGGCTTGATATAAGTGTCCAGGTAGTTATATCAAAAAATAAAAGAAATGTCAGCAAAAGCTGACACAAAAACTGGCACCTCACAGTTATGAGCTGTGTGTCACAGCTATGGAGAACTCTTGAATATTTTTAAGAATTTAGACTTGAGCGTACAGGGTGTATTTTGACACAACTCAAATAGAATTCAAGAAAAAAGGCAGTCAGCCTCTCTGAAAATGGCAGTCAACCCCACAGGAGTGTCCAGCCTGGTGCAGCCACTGCAAACCCCACAGCCATGGGCAGTGAGCGGAGCAGGGAGCCCAACACTGGGCAGGTAAACCCGGCTGTGGCCTGGCGTGGCAGGGCATGGCAAACTGGAAACAGCATCAGGGCAGCACAGAGGTGTGTGCATGGACTGAGCATTGCTGTGTGTCAGTGCCTGTTTCCAGGCAGATGGCCCCACTACCTCTTCCCACCACTTCCTGAGACAAACATTAATTCTCTGGGTCAAAAATTCACAGCTGAAAATACCTTGCATCACCATGTCACCCCCCCAATGAAATGAAACGAAACAAAACAAACAAACAAACCTCACCAAAAAAAAAAAAAAAAAAAGGAGTGTATCAAAATCAGTGCTCTGTAAAGGGCAACTAATGCATAAACTCTTAATTTTTTGCCAATAAAGGTGCTGTCATGCTCATTATTCTCCTCTCACAGGGAAGGAGTACAGGAAACTCAATTCCAAATCATTTTTCCTCTTTCAAAAGGCATAAAACCACAAGTAAGCCATCACCCAGGTACTTACCAGAAAATTTCTCAGGACATTCAAATCAAAGAGACCCTCTTTTGTCATGAGGGAGAAAAAGACTAGCAATAAAAAAATATACCAAAACAACTTGAAAAACCCTAACCTATCTACAGATGGAAAGACTGAGTTAATCATTTATTGGATTTTCCTCTGTGTCTGGCTTTTCTGGACAGAGTTTTTCTGGAACCAGCTGGGAAAACAATTTTTTTTTTTCTGGTTTTACTCAGGAAAACAGAGTCACCATCACAACTATTTTTTTTTTTTTTAAACTAAGGTTGTAAAAGTAGGTGCAACAGCACAAAGGAAACAGCAAACTCTGGAGGTCAGGTGCAGACTAAGAAAAACTGGGCATGTGTAAAGATGGTAACCCTCCTGTTATTTCTCAAGAAGAGTCATGTACAAGTCATTATATTAAAACCCAGAGTGACAGCCACACGGAATGGGTTAGTGAACACACTGGCTAGCTAGGTAGCTTTGCTGTGAGGAGGCGTATGCTGCAAGCCATGCCAGTATCACCATTCTTCACTTGGCTTTTTCCTTGCAGGTTGCCAGGTTGGCTTGGCCTCATACCCAAAGCTCCTGGAAACTTCCCTTTTATGGGTTAACTGACTCTTGTCCTGCTCCTTCCCCCAGTGACAATTCTCTAGAGTCTTGCTATGCCCAGGACTGTTTTTTCAAACCCTCCATTTCTTGTTTCCAGAGATTTCTCTTCACTCTCTCCTCTATCTGACATGTTCCTTGGGAGGAGAGGAAATGACCAATACTCCCTGCCTGTGGAGCCCTGTAACTGGCCAAAATTAGAGCCTCTGATGGGGCACATAAAACATTTGTTATTCCACCCATCAGCCTTTGGGGATCTCCAATCTGATAATTATCTCCAAAACCAAGGACTTCACAGCACAGGTACCTCCCCTGCTGGATGAATCATAGAATCAACTGGGTTGGAAAAGACCTCTGAGATCATCAAGTCCAACCCTTGATCCAACCCTGCTGTGATTACCAGACCATGGCACTGATGCCACATCCAGTCTCATCTTAAATGAGACAGTGAATCCACCACCTCTCTGGGCAGCCCATTCCAATGTCTGATCACTCTTCTCTGTAAAAAATTTCTTCCTAATATCCAACCTAAATTTCCCCAGCAGTCTTTAGAAGTTACCTTATTAGCCCAAGTCACAGAAAATCCTGCTGAATATCCCTGCTTTGGCAGGTTCTTGGCTACCTCCTTGGTCTTTGCTGTCACCTCCTCTCTTAACCCTTGCTCTTCCCCATGTCCAGCAAATCTCTGTCTTTGGCCTTCTCTTTAGCAAAAGGCTGTGGAGTCCTGAAATCAGCCCATCTGTAGTGGGCCCAGCCTTTTGAGCAGCCCGCCATCCCCTCCCCAGAAAACCCAGAGCTCCTGGGAGTTTGTGTGAACCTGGTGAGCCCACAGCAGGGACAGGTCATTAAATCTTTTCCTT